ATATATATATAAATTAAATATTAATATTAAATAATTATATTTAATTTAAGGTATTATATATTAAATATTAACATCAAAAAGTGGAAATATAAAAAAAATAAAGTAAAACATGTTTATAAAATTATAATAATAACACTTTCATAAACATTAATAAAATAATGTTACAAAATATAATTATCATAATATATTTTGTTATTATTATTTATTATTATAAATATTATTGTTTTTATTTTTATTAATATTAATATTATTATTTATTATAATTAGTATCATTATTATTTATTATGATTCTTATTATTTTTCTAATATTTATTATTATTCTTATCATTATTTATTATTTTTTTAGTAAATAAACCCTATTAATATAATTTTATTGTAATTATTATTAATTATAATAAATAATATTATACTCATTTTTAATCCAAGGGTAAAAGTGTAAATTATATATTCATCTCTTAAATTTTTATTTTTTATCTATCATTAAATTTAAACCAAATATTTAAATTAATTTATTTTTAAATTAATTTTTTATAATTTTTTAGTTAAAATCTATATATTTATCTTTTAATTATAATAATTATAAACTTTTTTTAGCCTAAGGACAAAATAGTAATCTTTTACAATTATCAATTAAAAAATTTACTTTTATCTATCACATCAATCATTTCATTCACAAACTTTCTCTACACTTTCCACTCACTTTCCCTTAATCCAAACAACCTCACTTTTCACTCACTTTTCCTTCAAATCTCTCCTTTTCCACTCCTCCTTTTCCATCTTCAAATCCAAACAAAGCCTAAAATTCTACATTTCTTCATGGTAGAAGAAGTTCGAGGCGTGTAGAAGGAGATCGGATGATTTAGTTTTAAGATCAAGGTGGTTGTATGTTGAAATCCTACATTTCTGCACATAGAGGGAGATCGAAGCACAAGAACCCTCACCAGATTCTTTCACAAACATCACACATACTAAGTTTATATGATTGACTTTACATATCTCAGTTATCTTCAAAGAAAGAAATCGCTTACCCATATGTGATGCACGTTTCCCAAATAGAACACACCATTTTGATTCACAGTGTATCTCTGCATTTTGATGTTAACTTCCACCAGAGGTCTGTCAAGCTTAAGTCTGATGCAAACAGTCTTATTTTCTTACATTGCTTCTAGATTGAAATAAATAATAGTTTTTCTTAATTGCATTTTTGATCCCTTAAATATAATAATTGTGCAATTTTGGTCTCCAATATTTTAATTGAGTAATTTTAGTCCTTAAAAAATTGTAATTGTGTGATTTTAGTTCCTCGATTTTTAATTAAATAATTTTAGTCCATCAAATATCATAATTATGCGATTTTAGTCTTTCTCATTAAAAATTTAATAATTTTAA